TCACAATTTACAACCATAAAAATGCATCATTGGAAGTTACATTTAGTTAGCTTGGGGGATTGGTAACTAAAGACAACTGAGTTATCAGGTTTGAATTATAACATAGAGAAGATTTGGTTAGAAAAGATCAGATAAGTCTGCTCAAAATATTTATATGACACAATACAAATATTATCATAGTAGTACAGTATATACCAAGCATCGAATACATCACTAACACACAAATGCAACATGGATAATTAAAAACAATATCAGAAACTTTATATGATGCCTTTAAATCATTACACAGTAGTACATGCAGGCACCGAGGAGTGAACTTCCTGAAGATAATTAGTTGGCCAATAAAATTTTCCAAATCTAAACATAGACCAATTAATTATATACAACTTTGACTTAAAATTGCAGCAACATGGTTCAGTATCAATGAAATGAGGCACAAATATAGTAATTTTACTGATGAAATCAATAGATAGTGACATAAAAGATGTAAATAAGCATTATTGTACAACTGGAATCATATTAAATGTTATGAATCCTGAAAATATTATTGAGTAGCACAGGTTGTACCTCTCTAGTCCGGCAACCTCGGGACTGACCGGTGCCGGACCATGGAAATTCACCCTTTTCCTGGATAGATAGTGACTTGTGCTTATGCTTGGAAGCACTAGCACGACTTTCTCTGCATCATGGTCTCTTTGAAGACATATTGAAGGGTTAAATGTTGTATACTGTAGTAGCTTCTCAAATTTCGCGAGTTTTTAATTCAACGTATTTTATTGGAACACACACACACAAAAAAAATAAATAACAATTTTGACGGCGGAAACTTGAATTTCGACGGGTTTGAACGGCCCGCTAACGTGCAGACGACGTGCATAAACGTGTAAACAGCGTCATTTCTCTTATGTACAAAAGAGTCATTATTGTTTATTACTGAATGTCTTTTTTATTGAATTAATGTTTATGTGTGCAAAATGAGCAATACAATTCATTAATAATACGTAGAATATTAAAACACACGAGGAAATGAGACAGCATTGTTTTTGTTGATTACAAAACCAGTGACTGACTGGTTCTACATATAAAACTGAAGAAAATAAGACCTTGGTTGTAGGTGTAGTAAAATTAATATGGTTGTTTTAAGTAATGTTATTTAATGTTAATAAATGGAACAATAGAAGTAGCTAACGATAATGGTAAAGAAAAAAGAGAGATCGCGTATGTAAGTGCGCACACGTGAAAACATATCGTCATTACTTTACATAAGAATATTAAAGCAACACTTATTTACTGTTCATATATATTTTAATTAATGTTTCTGAATTTGTTTTTATTGAATTAATGTTTGTGTGTGCAAAATTAACAATACAATTTATTAATAATACGTGGAATATAATACACACGAGGAGACGAGACGGCTGGCATTGTTTATGTTAAAGCTTACAAAACCAGTGACTGATTGGGTCTACATATCTTGTCTAATAATTCAACTTTCTTTGTCAGGGTTTTTACTGACTTCTGCCTTTTATGTTTCACTCCACTAGCTTCACCAGCACTGACACTAGGCAGTCTTTTAGAGGCCATTTTTACACAGAAACACTAAAGTTTTGAGAGTACAACACGAGATGCTGCATCATGGGCAAAAGCCAAGCGCGAACATGGGGAGAGGAGATGCTGCGAGCGCATGGGGTGACTTGTTGTGCTGCTGGCCACCATCTGCTTACCATGAATCACAAACCCACGAATGGCAAGGGTTTACTGTATACAGTAGAACGTCGATATAACACAAGATACGTTCCAAGAGAAGTCGCTTAAAACCTAATTCGCACTAAATCGAAGTGTTGTTTCAATGGAATAATTTAGTTTTGTACTCGAGAGAAACACAAAATACCAAAAAGGCTGAGAGTCTACCCAGATGCACCTCAGTCCAACTCCTAGAATAAACAAAACATTGTTTTATTTGTACTATTATGCTAAAACAAACACTCATAAATCAATACAGCTAAAATTATGGGATGTGAAATGGTCTGTGTACTAGCGATCAGCTGAAATGAGAGGGTCGTATGGCGCCGCTGCGAAGGGTTGCCAAGTCTGTCTTTTAAGGACAGCATGTCCCTTTTTGAGACCCATTTGTCCGTTATTTTCAAAATAAAAAGGACAAGCATAAACTATCTTTATCTGAATTTTAGGTCTATACAGTACTACAAAAAGGTAAGTTATATATATATATATATATATATATATATATATATATATATATATATATATATATATATATATATATATATATATATATATATATATATATATATATATATATATATATATATACAGTGACCCCTCGTTTAACGAACGCCTCGTTAACGAAATTTCGATTAACGAACTGCCTTCCATAAGGATCTTCAATTCGGTTAACGAAAAAAATTCGGTTAACGAATTTCTTACGAACCGACCTCAACATGTTTTCGCTTGCACTGACCGGGCAACCAGCTTTAGTATCAGTCCGCCAATACATTAATCGGTTCTAGGGCTTAAATTCCTTACTATTTTTGTAAATATCAAGAAGTTTATACTATTCAATTATTTTAAAAGTTTAATATTCAATTTTTTAGTCATTTTAACAATTATTGAACAAAATTGAAGGTAAAGTGACTAGTTTAATGCGCGGCATCCAGCCTCTTAACACAGCAAACAGGCGTCAGTCTCTCTCTGTTTTCACTGGAGGTAACATCTTGCTTGAGACTCTCTTCAACTAAACGCTTTTTTTCTGTGTTTCCAAGCAAATTATTGGTCATTTTGAAAATTATTTTACATATTGACAATATATAGTGCAGTGCAGTGTTATTTTAAAGAAAATATTCTTTATTTACAGCTAGTTTAACTTTGAAAAATACGTGTTGCCATTGTTTGAATCCAGCATGGGGCCTAAGAGATCAAGAAAAGTGATTTCAATCCAAATGAAGCAGGAAATAATAAAAAAACACGAACAAGGTATTAAATCAAATGCGCTATGCAAAGAATATGGCATGTCGGCATCAACTGTGTCGACAATTCTTGCACAAAAAGACAAATTTAAGGAAGTGAACGTGAGAGACAAATCTACAAGAGTGTTTAAAAGTAGATCCCTAATCGTAGAAACTGAGAGGTTACTTATCATCTGGATTAGGGAAAAACAGATGAAAGGTGATTCAGTTTCTGGTGATTTCATTTGTGAAAGAGCCAGGGAGATTTATGAACATTTAAAGACAGATCAACCTAGTTCTTCAGGAACAGAATTTGAAGATTTTCGGGCTAGCAAAGGCTGGTTCGAAAAATTTAAGAAAAGAAGTGACATTTTAAGTGTTGTTAGGCATGGTGAAGCTGCTAGTGCTGATAAAGAAGGGGCAGCAAAGTTTTTAATTGAATTTAAAAAACTGATGGAAGAAGAAAATTATCTTCCACAGCAAGTGTTCAATGTTGACGAAACTGGGCTGTTCTGGAAAAAGATGCCCAAAAGAACATTCATCACCAAGGATGAAGCCTCTTTACCTGGGCATAAACCCATGAAAGACCGTCTCACTCTATTGCTTGGTGCCACTGCTTCAGGGGATTTCCGACTGAAGCCTATGCTTGTCTACCACTCTGAAAACCCCAGGGTGTTCAAGCAACAGAAAGTGGTAAGAACAATGCTTGGAGTTTATTGGAAGTCCAACCGTAAGGCATGGGTGACAAGACAGTTCTTTAATGAATGGGCTATTGATGTGTTTTGCCCCTCTGTCAAGAGCTACCTAACCACCAATAAACTTCCTTTAAAGGCTCTTCTCCTCATGGATAATGCTCCTGGTCATGACCCTGACCTTGCCAGAAATTTGGAGTATCAATTTGACTTTGTGAAAGTGTTGTTTTTGCCTCCAAACACTACATCAATCATACAGCCAATGGACCAGAATGTGATCAGCAACTTCAAGAAGTTGTACATGAAGAAAATGTTTAGGAGGTGTCATCAGGCAACTTCCATTGATCCTGAACTAACACTAAAACAGTTCTGGAAGACACAATTCAACGTCCTGGAGGCTGTAAAATTGATTGTGTCATCATGGCAAGAAGTCTCCAATAGAACCCTCAATTCTTCATGGAAAGCACTGTGGCCATCAGTAGTCCATGATTTTGAGGGATTTGAGGATGACACAGAGTTGGACCAGGAGATTGTGTCCATTGGTCAGTCATTGGGTCTTGAAGTGGAGGAGAAGGATGTGGAAGAGCTTGTGATGTCTCATGAGGAGGAACTTACTCCAAATGACTTGAAGGAACTGGATGAGATGTTACGGGTAGAGGCTGACAGTGGTGAGGAGGAAATTGAAAGTGATGACCATATGTCAGCTACACAGTTGAAAGATGTGATTTACCACTGGGAGAAGTTCAGGGAACTGGCTTCAAAGCACCCAGAAGTGGAAAAAACTGAACTAACTTTGTGTCATGTTGAGGACTCAGTGGTCTCCTTTAAACATAAGTTAATGGTGAGGAGGACAGATGCCCCACAGACCACAATTGACACTTTCTTCAGTAAAAGGCAGAGGGAACAAGATGCTATCCCTCAGCCTTCCACTTCAAGAAGGAGAGATGTTCATGGTGGAGAATCTGTCAGTCCAGAGGTTCCTGACATTTTCATGGAAGGTGACTCACCTTCCAAGAAGCAGTAAAATGCTTCACCTCCACTTCCTTCTCTTCTCCTCCTGCACCTCCCACTTCAAATTCGCATCATCATCATCCAGGAGCCTTCTACATACACACCTCAAAGTAAGTGAACTTTTCTACCATTTTTGTTGAATTCAGGCAATTTTCGATGAGCTGGAACCAATTACCCAAAAACCCATTGAAACAATGTTTCGGTTAACCAACTTTTCGGTTAACGAACGACCTTCTGGAACAGATTGAGTTCATTAACGGAGGGGTCACTGTATATATATATATATATATATATATATATATATATATATATATATATATACACTCACCACCCACCTGACTCATCCAGCTCTCACTTTCTTCTCAATTTATTTTTTAGTTATTTTATGCTATCAAAAATAGATTTTCACTCAACTTTAGTTAGGCAATTCATTCTCTGAAGATGCAGAGCCCAACTCGACCAGCTCATCATCCACATCACTGTCTAGTGCTGTGGATGTGGACACATCTGACACACGGGAAACACCATTTCCACGGTGCAGTGCCTCCAGCACCTTATTTTTCTGCTCCAGTGTAATTGCTTGACTGGATTTCTTGGTCTTTGGGGAAGCTAATGAAGTAGTAGCAGGCCTCATGGACATAGTGGCGATGGTTGATGCACGTAGTAGAAGGGAATAGTGTCACACAATATGTCCGTTCACTTGAGCGTCAGTGCGAGAATTGAGGATGTGTGAGGGTGTGAGAGGGTGGTGGGCATCCGTGTAGCGTGCCCAGAGACGCGTCTGGTGGGAAACATTAGGCGCAAAATTGACTCGCGCAAAATATGAAAGAAAAGCTTTAAATTAAAACATTGTCCTTAATTGTGGGTGTCGCTTTAAATCAATAATCTTAAATTAAATAGCTTTATATCGATGTTCTACTGTAACAATAAATGTGATGACTAAATCAAAATAAATCTAATAAATAAAATAAAACAAAAAATCCTCTATTCCTATTTGGCTGCTGGATGATGAAATTTTTCAATTGTTTCACTGCACACGAGAGACAGCGGAGATCTCTCACTCCTCCCCCCTTCCCTGTTTAGCATGAACTCTGAACACACAAAGAAATGTATTCCCTTTTCTGTTTTTACCTTATGACAATGACTTTTTTTTTGCACATTATGTATGTAATATTGTGTGCATGTGACATAATAAAAAATAAATATGTACATGTATACAGTACAGGTACCTACCCAAAAATGCGAGTTGAATAATAACCATGACATAGCTCACAACTTGGCCTTAAGGGTTAGGGAGATGTGGCTATAGTGAAGAGTCTTGTGTCATTATTATTTTGTTATTTTTTTCTGAGATTACCTCTGCACATTATTAGAGTTTCACAGTGCAATGATGAAAAATAGGAGTAATTTTGGGTGATGCACTATCTCAAAAGTATAGTATCGAATCGCAGTATATCGAGGGTCTACTGTATTTGATTAGCACTTAATAATATAATATTAATATGATGCCTAAAATATATTGGACAGATCAGTGTCATTTTCCTGGCCCATTTTGTGAAAATACACCAACAGAGAACTTAACAATGGCTATAAAATTAAGCTCTGAAACATTATACACTCAAACTCTTCTAATTCGACAGCTTTGGGTTTTCTCTTGTTGAATTACCAAAAGGGTCCTAATTATTCAGAGTCATTGTCAAGATTATGTAGCTTTTTCGGAAACTCAAGCAACTGCTGCCTTTATATGTGTTTGTGCAGGGTAAAATGATGTTTGCTCTAAAGGGGAACACTGCAATTTTCCACATAAAAGATGAATGGTACTTGGGGAATTATACAGAATTTAGTAGTAATGCTGTACAAAATGAAGATTTATGCACATAGTTTAACTCCCACCTGAACAAGGACATTCAGACAAAGCATCCCTATTGCACTAGGCCTGAGGTGGTGTTATTTTATGTGGAACCACAAGTAAAAGACTTATCAGACATGTGGGATAAATTTGACAACTTGCAGTGTACTTTTAATATTTGGGGCTCATTGTAAAAAAATGCCAAGTCATTCAACATCACAAAAAATTACTGATATACCACAAAGTCCAAATTAGAGGGTTCAAGTCTACTTTATTAAATAAAGTCCTATGGCATAATTCTTTAACATAGTTCACTCACAATCGTCAGTATTTTGTATTCAATACTGTACACAGTGATAGTCATGGCAAAGCAAAATCATTTTTTTTATGAAGAATCTCCAGTTTTAATCATATATAATGCATTGCAAAATTTTCTGTTCACAAGTTTAATTCTTAATTTTCAAAAACCATCAATAACCAACCATTTCTCTGTGACCTTTTCAAGCTGCTTTGTGACGATGGGATTCCTCACCCGAATTTTCACTTCCAGTTTTCCTCCTACAATACGCTTACGCTCATCTGCCAGCTGTAAGAGTACATTAAGTTATTATTTCATTTAAACCTCAAAAGGAAGAACACGCACGCACGCACGCACGCACGCACGCACGCACACGCACACACACACACACACACACACTGGTTGGACCCCGCTAATCCAGGACCATATAGTTCAGCGGCTTCGATGGTTCAGGACGATTTCAGTAAGCCTTTAATATACACTTTTCTCTTTGCTTTTTCTGTTAATCTACTTTATGCTATGGTTGCATTCTGCTACAACACAGCATAATGGGAATCCGCATAGGGGGTATATTTAATCTTATGGGGAAAATTGGGATATGATCCACAACTACTAAAAGTCAACAGTAGTGCTAAAAAAGTTGTGGAAAATCATTACAATACTCTAATGCAGGTTAGAAATAAAGGTAATATAAAACTATAAACTGGGACATATGAAGAGCATGGGTGTTTATGTGGTAAGTGAGAGCGTGTGCAGTGGCTGGCTGGCTCGCCACTCCAGCCGCATCCCGTGATGTCAAATACAGCGCAATGCACACACGACCCTGTTGTGGGTCGTTCAACCTAATATGCCAGGATGGGTAATTCCCATGTAAAAAAAAAAAAAAACCACGGTGCCACGTTTCACAAGCATATCTTGAGCATTAATGTTATAAAAGTTGTAGAAAAATCATTAAAATACTCTAATGTGGCTTAGAAATAAAGATAATATAAAACTATAAAATAAGTAAAAATAAAGAACATGGGTGTGTGGGTGGAGAGTGAGCTGCCTGAGAACTGAAGTGCCCTCCTTCCCTCTGCCTCCAATCCCCCCTCCCTCAATGTGATGTCACATACACATCATTTATATAGAAGTTTGGTGTTTATACAGAAAAACAAAATACAGTATGTACTGTATTTTATGGCAGTACCAGGAAATGTGAGGGATAAAAAAAAATAAAAAAAAAATTACTGTACAGCATGCCCTTAAAATTTGCGGGGGTTAAGTTTTCAAAATGGCCACGAATAACATTTGCTGACCAGGTAGGGGGTGTACATTTTTACTTGTGTGCAGATAAATGTACACAGTAAAGCCTCAAATAATGACGGTAATGTGTCCTCCAATATTGCAGTGTACGGTGAATCATCGTATCGCGAATCATTAATTACCATTAAAATAAAGCAATAATAATGAGATGCGTTCCCAAGTGTGACCTTTTCATATCCTTTGTGTGGCTTTTTACCCTCTTTTCCCTCTAAAACCAATATAATTTATGAAAATTGCAAACAAAATTCTTTAAATAATGTTGCTGAATGCACCTTATACAATATACCGGTAAATGAATAATAATATGGACACACAAGAGGAGATGGGACGCCATTGTTTTTGTTAGTTGTTACAGCAGAGAGTCCGGGACAATGGTTCTACATAAGAAAATAAGACCCTAGCTGTAGCTGTAGTAAAATTAATGTAAAAAAATGAATATATAAGTTTTAAGTAATGCTATTTCATGTCATTAAATGGAACAATAGAAGTAGATAGATTGGGAACACCAACATATACGTACACATTTAAGGATACCGCCTCATTTATCTTTTTAATACAAAAGATTCATTATTGTTTATTCATGAATACATATTTGATTGAATTTATCTTTATATATGCGAAATGAACAATACAATTAATTAATAATACATAGAATATTAAAACACACAAGAGGATAAGAGACGGCATTGTCGTCAGTGTTTACGCCTGTAAGTCAGTTATCCACCTGAAAATAAGACCCTGGTTGTTGTTGTAGTAAATTTAATGGAAAAAAATGTTTTAATTAATGTTATTTAATGTACAGTAGAAGTAACCACGGATATTAAATAAAAAAAGCGAGACTGATAGTGGAACGCCAATGTATACAGTACGTACACACTCAAGGAAACAGTAATTTATCTTAAGAATATGTACAAAAGATTCATTATTGTTTATTACTGAATATGTATTTGATTGAATTAATGTTTATATATGTGAAAAGATCAATGCAATTCATTTATAATTCATAGAATATTAAAAAACTCAAGAGGAGACAAGATGGCATTGTTTTCGTGAGTGACGATGGTTCTAAATAAGAAATTGAAAAAAAAATAAGACCCTGGTTGTAGCTGTAGTGAACTTATTGTAAAAAAAAATTTAATACCTGTATGTATGTTTTAAGTAATGTTATTTAATGTTAATAAATGGAACACTAGAAGTAACTAACCACTAATGGTAAAGAAATAAAGTGAGACGATTGGGAATGCCAACGTATGTACAGTAAGTGCGTACATGTGAAAACAAACTGTATCGTGATTTCTCTACATATGAATATGAAAGCAACACTTATTTATTGTTCATATATGTTTTAAATAATACTTACGAATGGAAAACAAAAATTCTACACGCCAATAGTGGCAAAGTCTAAAGCATAAGGCCAGCCAATGATGATGTGTGAGTTTTTACTCAGATAACGAAGCCATCAGGTTCAACTCTGTCATAAGCTGCAGCTTTTCATAAAGCTGTTGCTGAAACTGTTATTGAACCTGAAGTTGTTAATGAAGCTGCTTATGATGCTGAATTTGATGGTGTAGCTGAAGTTGATGGTTTAGGCCTTAAAATAATAAAGCTGCTTTCTTTTCTCATTACAGTATTACCCCGCATTACGCGGTTTCACTTAACGCGATTTCTCATATACGCGGTGCCTCACCAGAACCGAACTTTCACTTAACGCGGTTCATCTACTCATATACGTGGTGAAGTATAATATTTTTTTTTTTATTTAGCTCATAAAATTCATACAAATTACCCGGCCAGAATATATATATATATATATATATATATATACAACAAAATATATGTACAAAAAATAAATGTTAAATGAATTATTTATGGTGCATTAGAGTACTGGTCACTTCAGACACAAAGACGGGCTATAAATAGCCTTCTTTATCTCCCCTCCATCTCACCCTGAGCCAGAGGGAAGGGGTGGTGGTAAATAACATTTGTTTGCTTATTTTCCATTTACTTGAAATAGATTTACCGAATTATTTGTTTATTTATTTAAAAGTCATTTACTGAATATTCTATGTAAAAAATAAATTTTAAATTAATTATTTATAGGAGATACCAGTAAATATATGGTATTACTGGCCACTTCAGACACAAAGACGGGATAAAAATAGCCCATCTCCCCCTCTTCTTACAGCTGCCAATGGGAAGCGTCTTGGTAATTAAATTTGATGTTTATTTTCATTGTCTAATTTATCATGTATCAAAGTAATATTACTAAAAATTGTGTAGGTAGTAGGCAGCTACCAAACAGGTAGATACTACCGCCTGGGAAGATATTGGAAGCATAATGTGTTGTCTAATGGTAGACCCTGCTGCCATATGGCATCACGAAAATTGTGACCAAGTCCCAGGTTCAGCGCTGACCTGACTTTCTGCCTCATTTACACACAATTGCAGTTTGAATTGTTCCTCTAACTTTGACAACACAACATACATACAGTATATTATTTCTCACTTTTGATCTTTTTTTACTTTTTGTATTTATTTATGTTTAGTTACTTTAAATGAGACCAATTCACTTCAAGTAATGGCTGGTGTAGTGTAAACACTAGTGACGTCACTTAAGCGTCTGTATTTAACTGTCAGTAGTTTCAAGAATTAATGCAGTCATTTACTGAATATTCCTTGTAAAAAAATAAATTTTAAGTATTATTATCAGTAAATATACCGATATGCATTACTGACCACCTCCACGGCTAAAAATAGCCCAATCTCGCGGTCACTTTCCCTTTCTTGTCTCCTCACTGGCAAATGGGGGGTGTGTGATGATAGCTGTGTTTATTACAGGGGTATAATTCTCTTTTACGGTATGTCAGACAGGTTTATAATACATTTTTATTATTTTAATATACCGGTAATCTTAATTTGAATCCAGCTTGCCAAACGCAAGTTTCAGTATAAAATAATTAGTGGTAAGACCTTGTGAGTGGCTTACGATGTTTCCATCACCACTCTTGACAAACTAAACCACAATATTTAAGAGGTAAGAATTTTATATTTGGTGGTTTAGACGACCCCCTAACTTTGGGCAGATTTTTTTAATGTTCAAATTCCGTCTTATAAGCCGAGATATACGGTACTTCATTTATGTATTTTAGCTCAATGTCCAAGTGGAAATAGCTTGAACATATATTGAAGTCTCTGTTGGTAAGAGTACGTACTAGATTACGTTTGTAATTAAGAGGAATAAAAGATGAAAATTTTGAACTCAAACCAGTGAAAGTTGGTTTTCTGTATAAGGCTGTCTCTAAACTATTATGAAGACGGTGGATATTAACATCAAGGAATGGAAGAATATTTTCCTTTTCCAATTCACAAGTAAATTTGATGTTGCCATGTTTCGAATTTAAATAATTTAGGAGCATAGGGACGTGATCAAGTGATCTGAAAATTAAAAAAGTGTCATCAACAAACCGACGATAGAACAAAGGCTTAAATTGGGGGGACATTCGGTAAGCCAAAGCTTCTCGTGGTGACAGAGGAAAGCGTTGGCCAACGTGGGACCTACAGGTGAACCCATAGCAACACCTTCACATTGTTTATAAGCTTTGTTATTAAATAAAAATAAACAATCATTTACAGCCAGTTTTAAAAATTCTTTAAATGTGTAGGAGGATGTAGAGATGTGTAGGAGGGTGTAAAGGGGGTGCCGAAGGTGTGTAAGGATGGATAGGGATGTGTAGGAGGGTGTAGAGATGTGTAGGAGGGTGTAAAGGGGATGTCGAACGTGTGTAAGGATGGATAGGGATGTGTAGGAGGGTGTAAGGATGTGATACTTACTCTGATGGGTAAATTTCATACATTCCACTCTCGGTCGCCCCTTCAGTCTGATGACCGGCGCAGTCCTTCACTCTGTTGAGGAGAGAAAGAGAGAGATAGAGAGAGAGAGAGGGGGGAGAGGGAGAGAGAGAGAGAGAGATTGACTTTATACGAGAGAGAGAGACAGAGAGAGAGAGTCCTTCATTCTATTGGGAAAGGATAGAGATGAAGACAGACAGACACAGACACACCCACCTTGACCCAGTACCCAACAACACAGGGGCAGGTGTGGTCTTGGGAAGTATGGTCACTTTCTTACAGACACAATCCAATCCTACAAAATTCCTCTCTTCCAACTGTGCTTCTGTTAAATTCTCTCTACACGGACATAAATCATCTATTTTAACACCTTTTTTAACATCCTCTCTAGTATCTGTAGGTTTGGCGCTGTCTGTAGGAGGTAGGATATCTGTATATTTTACCTGTAGCTGTAGACGGAGTTCTTGTTTATCCTCCTGTGGAGACTCGATCTGGGCAGTACAACGACCTTGTTGGGTGAGTAAATCTTCGTTACGTTGTTGCAGTAGAGCGTGGTGACGTAGAGCCAGAGTTAACAGTGAGTTTGGTCCTTCGTCGTTAACCCGAGCCAGTACTGTCAACAAACATGGAGGGTAGGGTTAGCTTAGGTGTGTGTAGGTTAGCTTAGGTGTGGGTAGGTTAGCTTAATATTTATTTTAGTTTAAGATTAATAAGGTTTAATTAGGGTTAGGTTAGGTTAGTTTAGTTTAGTTTAAGATTAGTAAGGCTTAATTAAGGTAGCTAATGTTTGTTTAGGTTAGATTACGTTAAGATAGCTTAGATTAAGTACGGCTAAACTATATTAGGGTAGTTAAGACTATGCTAAATGAGGTTAAATGGACCCCAGAACAACAAAACAGTCTCCTTACCTTCCTTGGGGCTGACATCAAGCAGGGGGATGAGGATGTCAGCTGGTAGTAACTTCTGTAACGACCTGCTGACGTCCAGTAACTGTACCAGCAAGTCTGACGGCACTGTTACCATCTGTTGGGAGATAGATAGATAGATAAATAGATAGATACATATGCATACATACATATATACATACATACATAGTTTTGAAGGCACTAAAAATCAGTCAATTGAGAGAGAGAGAGAGAGAGAGAGAGAGAGAGAGAGAGAGAGAGAGAGAGAGAGAGAGAGAATTTAACTTACTGTAGAATTCCCTTCATTTTTAGTTGCTGGAGCCGCTGACAGGTCCGTAGCTAACCACACCCATAGCACACACGCCCACGATACACCCACCCATGCCTGCCGCCCACACATGATTCCTGAAAAACGAAAATAAATACTTGCGACAATAGCAATGGGGTAAAAAAATAAACAAGTTTGTCCTTAAATAACTGACTTTCATTCTACTTTCCTTTACGACCAACTGAGTTAGATTGTTAATGGCATTTATGAGAGAGCCAGTACTTGCCCAGTAACAGAGTGGAACAGAGAGCCAGTACTTGCCCAGTAACACTGTGTAACAGAGATCCAGTACTTGCCCAGTAACAGTGTGTAACAGAGATCCAGTACTTGCCCAGTAACAGTGTGTAACAGAGATCCAGTACTTGCCCAGTAACAGTGTGTAACAGAGATCCAATACTTGCCCAGTAACAGTGTGTAACAGAGATCCAGTACTTGCCCAGTTACGTCTGTTACACACTGTCGGCAAGTACTGGCTCTGTTACACACTGTTGGCAAGTACTGGGCATGTACTGGCTCTGTTACACACTGTTGGAAAGTACTGGCTCTGTTACACACTGTTGGCAAGTACTGGGCATGCACCGGCTCCTAAATGTACCTGAACCCACTCCAGTGTTGGTCAAGTCTTGTCTTGAAAAAGCTCACACTCGGTGCCGACACAACACTCTCTGGTAGATTGTTCCAAGAGTTTACAACCCTCACGGTTTTCTGGACTTGCGGCTTCTTCAATCTTGAGCTGTGACCCCTTGTGGGGCGAGCGTCCGCCAGCTTCAAGTAAGGGCACTCAACTGAGTAGTGCCCCCTGAGATGCTTATACACCTCAACTAGGTCCCCTCTTGCCCGTCTGTAGTATAAGCTAGGCAAGTTCAGGCGCTCCAATCTCTCAGGGTAGCTGAGGTGCCCAAGTGCGGTCCGACTAATTACCCAAATGTACCCAAATGTAGCAAAATATAGCCGGAATGAAGTCAAATAATGGTCCTACATGAATTAATCGGACTGCCAATCATTTCTCGACTAGTATTTGGTGTCACAAAGTCACAAAAAATTGGAAAACTTACTTTAATCTGAGTTCATACATCGCGCGCATGTACCGAGGGAGCGAGGAATTACCCAAATGTAGCCAAATGTAGCCGCAATGAAGTCAAATGATGGTCGTACAAGCGTAATTCGGGCTGTGAATCACTTCTCGATTATTATTTGGTGTCATAAAGTCACAAAAAATTGGTAAACTTAATTTAATCTGAGTTGTGTTGTGTTAGGTTAGGTTAGGCTAGGTTAGATTAGATTAGGTTGGCTAAAGTGGGTCGCATCGCCCAGAGGATGGTTTGAGTGGTGAATGAGGCATTTTTTGAACATAAAAAATTTTCTATTGTATTTTATGTAATGCTATGAATCAATTTATCATAACAATGAATTTGGCAGCTCATCTCTGTTGCAGATGGTATTCAAACTTATGATAGTAGCTGATTTTGGAGGAATTTTTATTTTTAGTGTTACTGTTTCATTTTGGTGCCAGTTAGTTGAATCTACTGGAAGCCTGCCTGGATACCGGATAACTGGGATTCTACTGTATATAGCATACGGTTGTACCTGTAGATGTTGAATACAGTATTAGATCCTTACTAAAAAAAAAGTGGTAGCTGCAGTGAGGATGTAACAAGTCAAGGTGAAGTGATCATTACTTAATAAAGCTAATATTAGATATTAAAATAATTCTCAACATTTTTGTTTATAAGGACGATTTAGCTCAATTAATTTAATTTTCTACATAAATAAGAACAATGTAAATTCTGTTGGTCTGATAAGATACACAGTCCAGTATTATGAATATAATATAATGATACTGTATTATGAACATATTTAATCAAATTAATAAATGAACTGAGAACTTACTACTCCATGACCATAACCATTTCTCTCTGTCGTTCATAAGCAGCTCCGAGCTGAAGGAGTTTGGGATGCCGAAGTGAATTCGTGATGTCAACTTCCTCGCAAACCTGTATGGGTGATCACAGTATAGG